TTCGATGATGGTACTCGTTCTATTTGGCCGTGTAGGTCGTGTTTCGATTGTTGTTGTTAGTTTTCATTTCTCGTCGTGCTCCCCTCTCACCGTGGATTTGCAGGGCATTTATAGGCCCTCACCGGCCATTGTGGTCCCGGAAATAACGGGATGTATGAGCTGTTAGTTGACCGGTCATCCTGGGATAGTCCCGGGATCTTCAGCCGGTCGTTTCGCCTTTTGACCGTTGGGTTCCCTCTATGCGGCGCCGTTGACATGCATGACTAGGGTTTCTAAACCCTAAACCTTATCAAGATGGATCATGCACAAACCTGATTGGACTGTTACTAGACCGTTTCATTGGACTCTATTTTGGACTTGGACCAAAACAAAACAAAATAAAATAAATGAATAAAAAAATAAAATATACTAATAATAAAATAATATAAACTATAAATTATATATATTTCAAAAATATTTTTTTTAAACTATATATTATATTTTTTAAAAAAGTTTTCAAAACTATATATTGTATAAGTTTTCAAAATGATTTTAAAACTATATATATAATTTTTCAAAAATGTTTTTAAAACTATATATTATATAATTTTTCAAAATTTTTTTTTAAAGCTATATATTATATAAGTTTTCAAAAATGTTTTAAAAACAATATATTATATATATTTTCAAAATGATTTCAAAACTATATATTATATAAGTTTTCAAAAAAGTTTTAAAAACTATATATTATATATATTTTCAAAATGATTTCAAAACTATACATTATATAAGTTTTCAAAATGTTTTAAAAACCATATATTATATACTTTCAAAATGTTTTTTAAAAGACTATATATTATATAATTTCAAAATGACTTCTAACTATATATATATAAGAAAAAAGGGAGAAAATGAGTGTCTACAAAATCTTAATACATTTTTATTTTCGATCTGCTCACTAGATTTTCGAGTCAAGTATCAAGTAGCTCGTTTCAGCTCGTTAATAACTTGAGTCGAGCTTGAGCTCAAGTTGAGTATTTATTGAGTTTTGGTAGAGTCGATCTCGAGTAACTCACGTTATGTGTCGGTCCATTTACAGCCCTACTTATAGCAATTATCAATTTCATTTATTTCTTTCTTTGACTAGGTTTTGGTGGAGATACGAACAATAATTTTTTAAATGAATATCTTCTCATTTTCTATTGTTAATTTCTCCCATCCAATAATCTTAAAAAGATGTAAAACTGAAAGAATTTTACACAGTGTAGTTGGATCCTAGCCCATATATATATAGCTTAAGTATACAAAAGGTGCTCAACTTATGCCTTTTTTTCAGTTTAGTTCTTAACGTTTATTTCATTCCAGTTTGGTGCTTATGGTTTCATTGTTACTAAAAATGGGCCAAGCCGTGACGAACCATTAAATTTGGCTGTTAACCCATTAAAAATGATACCTGACATATTTTTTAATATTAAAAAATGATTTCTGAAAATAAAAAATGATTTCTGAAAATAAAAAAATTATTTCGTTCCAGTTTGGCGCCTAACGTTTATTTCGTTATAGTTTGGTGCCTAACGTTTCTTTCTCTCTCTTCCCCTTCTCCACCACAGGTCTAGACCCAGAGGCGTCGGTCTGGAGTTCTTCTAGTGAGCTTTTCGATGGATTTTAGGTTGCTCCATCGTTTGAACTCCCGATTACTACTGATGTGAGTTAATATGTTGTGCTAATTAGTGACATTTTTATGATTGGAAATGGGAAAATTCACGGCTTATTTTGATGGTTGATTAGTTTTTGTGTTGTAGTTTGATGGATTTCAAAAGGAAGCTATCTAAATGGTGAAACCTACTAAAGGAACCACCATGCTTACCTTTATCTTCAAGAAAGGTGTTATGGTTGCTGCTGATTCTAGAGCTAGCACGGGTGGATATATATGTATGTGGAAGATTGATTTAGGTTGCGTTTGGTTCACGGAATGTAAGATTACCAGTGAGAATAAAAGATTACATGGAATAAGATTACTAGGAATGTTGTATTTTGTGTTTGGTTGGTTTATCAGGAATGTAAGATTACCGTGTTTAGTTAAAGGAATAAAAGGTTATTGGAATGTATATTTGACCAAATTGTTCTTATTATATATTTGTTTTTTTAACAAGTTGGAAAATATTTATATATTTTCTTTAAAAAATTAAAATTCATAATATTTATATATTTTTTTTACAAAATTGAAAATATAAAACGGTTTAATGAAAGGGTAAAATTATTTTACCCTTGAACTTCATATAAAATTTTAATTATAGATTTATTTTATAAATCTAAAATAGTTTAAGGATAAATTTGTAATTTAACCTTCATAGAATTTTTATTATTCAATGAAAGAATAAAGATATTTTTGAAAGAAATTTTTTAAAGGCATTTTAGTCCAAAACGCCGGTAATCCAACAATACCTAAGGAAAGGGAGGTAATGACATTCCCGGTAATATACCCCAAAAAATCTACTATTGATAATGTAAGATTACCGGAAATGACATTCCCGGCCAACCAAACGGGGGAATGTGGATTTCATTCCCATGGGAATCTCATATTCCCCCAGCCAAACACACCCTAGGGTTCTTGAATTCAATTTGTAACGAAATAAACATTAGACACCAAACTGGAACGAAATAATTTCTTATTTTTAGAAATTATTTTTAATATTAAAAAATATGTCAAGTGGAATTTTTTATGAGTTAATGGCCAATTTAACGGTCTATCATGGCTTACTCATTTTTAATAACAAAATGAAATGTTAAACACCAAACTAGAACGAAATAAACGTTATTTAACAAGGAGTTAATGTCAACTTTTGATTCACGAGCTTCAACTTTGTCTTCCATGTACTGTTTTGAATTTAAATTCAATGAATCTATTTCTACCGTGGAAACGTGGGGAAGGAAGACTAGAAATTAAGAGTATTTTAAAATTGATTCATGAATCTTATTAGTATTTTAAATTCGATGAATATGTTCAAGTATATTTGTCTCTAATTTAGCGATTATAAGTAGTTATAAAAGAGACAGACATTATAAGTAGTTTAACGATTCTATTAAAAATAATACGTTAAACTGCATATATAATTAAAATTTAGGGTTGTATTGTTTATATTATTAAAATTTTAAATTTTATAAATTATAACACTAAATTTTGATTTCTGTTGTAGTTATACCACTTAATCGTAAAAATCTTTATGGTACTAATTTTGATTTCATGGAAAAACAATCATAGGAGAATAAATATGAGTGAAATGTAAATTCTTTGGTACTAATTTTGCTGCGAAAGATGACCAATGATTCACAATTGACTGTGACTGGAAAGTACGATGCCAAAAAGTAATTGCTTAAAAGTTTATGGTAAAACGTTATACCCCTAAAATTTAACGTTGACGTCATTTTGGGCATATGTAGTCATTTTTAAAATGATGTCGCTTTGTCCACACTATCATAATGACGAAAAGATATTCACTTCATTGCGCCGTTAAAGTTCAACGGTCCAATGCGTAACTGAAGCGAAAATTAAAATTTAGTGGTGTAAATGATACAAGGCTGGAAACTTAATTGCATGAGATGTAATTCATCCTAAAAATTTTAATGGACGCGAATGCACCTCAACATCTCCTATGTACATCCCTAGTGATCCTATAAAGACTCAAGTGGAAATTCATGCATATGTGGAAATTCTGCTTTAGTTGGAGGTTTTCATTGTTTTCAATCCCATGAGGTGGCTAGTCAAACACTTGAGTTGATATCTATATTAAATTCGATACATAATCCAAAACTATAAATGTAATTTGATTTTAATCATTTGAATCCATATCCGAATATTTATTGAATACTTGAATGAATAATTTAGGGATCAATCTTTGTAACTGTAGTTACACTTGGGTGGGTTAATGGTTACAAGTGTTAAAGTTGGAGAAATGGGGCAATTTGCATACAATCCAATTTCCCATTGTTGAACGAAATGTCAGCATCACAATGGGAAATCAAGTGTTCCATAAAGTTGGTCCACTCCTCTTAATTAGCAGCTGACGGAGTCATGTTGCTCTTTTTTTTGGTTATATGGTCTCATCACTGTTGCAAAGGGTAGACTTTATTGGTCTTCTTTTGTTCTTTTTGTTAGTTAAACTGACATTCATTAACGGGACATTGAAAACAGAGGCAAGTTCATGGAATTCATTCAGGGTTGAAGTTTTTGAATTGGAAGAGCATTTGGCTTTCACAATGCTCGTGGAAAATCATATTTGATGTCTATGTTCGGTATATATCCCCACTGAATGTAGTGGGTTTGTAGGTCTTGATTCTCTTAAAATAGTACGTTCAATGAATTACTCGTGAATTGTTTATATATTGTTAGTTTATTAAGCAAAATAAACGAGTATGAAGAAAAACATACCCATTTATTAAACAAAATCAATTTGTTTATTTTTGTGTAAAAACTCGTTTATTAACTCACTTGTTAATTCATTTTTATTAAACCATATGTTTTTACTATAAAAGATATTGTATTATTTTTTATTTATAATATAATTATTAATGTTTATGTTTGGTTAATTTATATCTAAAAATGAGAAATATATTCATTTACGGTTTGTTTATTTATTATTTATGAATAAGTTTTTAATTATTTGAGTACGTGATTGTTTAATGTTAGTTAATATGGTCGTTCGGTGTTTGTGAATATATTAAATGAATACGTTTGTGAAATCTAAACAAACATGTTCATTAATGTTAAATGAACGGATAGGAACACATATTTTAAATAAAGAAACACAAATATAACTTTAAAAATTTTTAACAAACATGCTTAAAATACACAAGCAAATATAAACAAAAATCTATTTTTTTTCAAGCTCAAATCATTTACCGGAAAATATACTTTCATGCAAACAATTGGGAAGCTAAATGGCTAAATGCATCCATAGAACTGTCATGCTCCAATATTAATAGTGTTACCGAAAAATAAAAATAGAAAACTTTGTATTGTGATGAAGGCTGGTGGCTTGAGCTGGTGGATCAGATGTTTTGTTTGTTTCCAGGAGCCTCCACGGAAAAATTCAGCTGCAAATCCACAAACTGAGATGGTCCCTGTTGTTTATTTGGTCACCCAATCAAGTATATATAAAATAGCGTAATTTGTATATGCCATCAATCCCATATTCAAACCCTTTACATTATCTGGTGAACCCAAATCTGAAAAACAACAATGTATTATTCCCAGTTTTTATCACACGTTTGCATGGCTCATGCAGGGTTATTATCACAACCTAAAAGTTGGAGAAGGTTATTAACTACATTAATCAAATGGTGCTTATATAGCATCATCTTTTAAATTCTTTGCTTTTCTTCTCGTTAATGTTAGCCAATATGTTTTGCATGGAACTTATTTATTTATTTTTACAGTTCAAAATCGAATGTCAGAATCAAAATTGGTGAGTATGATCACCTTAAACTTATTGTTTCTTAGTTCAAAATTCTTATAAATTATAATATGGGATACGAATATATGTCTACAGATATAAATGAGTAATTAACAAGAACGAATTTGATGTGATTGTAGTTCATTGCTCGAACGTTCCACGAAATGTGAACTTGGAAAAACTACGGAGCGGATACCTTTTTCCTGAGGTAAATTGGATCGTGCTCCTTGGTGCATCTATATTTAAGTTACTATGTCAATTTTTTTTTACCTTATTTGTCTTGTATGCTAACGTCTGCATGAAATGCAATAGTTTCAAATATGAGATAACGAGATCCTGTGATATATATTCTTGTTCGGACTCTTCAATGGCCTTTTCTTTGATATTTTTGTGATTCAGATATCCAGGCATGAGACTGAACACTTGCAGAAGAACCCGGATGCAAGATTGATAAGGCTAGGAATTGGTGATACAACACAGCCTATACCTGACACCATAACACAAGCAATGGCCGAGGTATAAAGTAACCAACTAGCCTTTGTTGCACTTAGAAAATACTTTCCCGTTTCTTCATCCTTTTCCTGGTTTAAAAAACAATTGCAGCATGTGCGTGGCCTATCGACGATTCAAGGTTATAGAGGATATGGAGCCGAACAAGGAAACATGGTATTATTAATCTTGTAGAGCATACTTACCCTGTGTCCTTTAAAAAGGCAAATGAAGAAAGATCTTCCTCACTTTTTTGCAGGAACTAAGGAAGGCGATTGCAGGAAAATTTTACCAGGATATGGGTATAAAAGCTAATGAGATTTTTGTATCGGACGGTGCACAGTGCGACATTTCTCGCCTTCAGGTAACAAGCGTTTCATGTTGTTTTATCAGGCTATCAGAAGATCAATACAAGTGATTTAACACCTTGTTCTCCATTTGGTTTTCATTATGTTAACTGATGTAGCTTTCTGCATTTGCAGCTGCTTCTAGGACCCAATGTTACAGTGGCTGTACAAGACCCATCCTTCCCTGTAAGCTTATCAAGGCTTTTCATTTTCCATATTTCAACCCTATATTAATCATTATGTAACCATTTTTTCCACCACATTGATGGATCAAATTTTGGGACAGGCTTATATTGATTCAAGTGTCATTGTTGGTCAAGCTGGTGAGTTAGAAGAGAAAACAGGCAAGTATAGGAACATTATCTATATGAACTGTGGGCCTGAGAATAATTTCTTCCCCGATGTATCAACAATTCCAAGGACAGATGTCATTTTCTTTTGTTCACCAAACAATCCCACGGGCCATGCTGCATCTCGGGAACAACTAAAGCAACTCGTAGAGTTTGCAAAGGCCAATGGGTTGATCATAGTTTATGACTCTGCATATGCTACTTATATCAGAGACGGAAGCCCCAGGTCGATCTTTGAAATTCCTGGTGCCCAAGAGGTTGGTTTGGTTGGTCAGTTTTGGTTTATTAGCTAAGATTTGCTGCAAATTTTAACCTGAAAAAGGGTTTCTTTTGTTTTGTTTCATTGCAGGTTGCCATTGAAGTTTCATCCTTCTCCAAATTTGCTGGTTTCACAGGCGTGAGACTTGGGTGGACAGTGGTCCCTGAAGACCTCAGATACTCTAACGGCTTCCCTGTTATAAAGGATTTCAACCGCATTGTTTGCACTTGTTTTAATGGCGCTTCAAATATTGCCCAGGCTGGAGGCCTTGCATGCCTTTCAACCGATGGCTACCAGGTAAGCATCGGATTATGATATTTAAACAAAAATACTTAAAAAACCAAACATAATACTATTCCCAGAAATTTTAATTTTTCTCCCATGGTTGCAGGCACTACGTAATGTCATTGATTATTACATGGAGAATGCCAAAATTCTGGTTGATGGATTTGAATCACTTGGTTTGAAAGTTTATGGTGGGAAGAATGCACCATATATGTGGGTACACTTTCCAGGATTGAGTTCGTGGAATGTATTCAGTGAAATCCTCAAGAAAACAAACATTGTGACTGTTCCAGGCAGGGGATTTGGTCCTGCAGGCGAAGAGTATATCAGGATCAGTGCCTTTGGTCCAAGACAACAAATTTTAGAGGCGTCCAGGCGGCTCAAATTTTATCTATAGATGGAATTTCATTTCCTTGGCCGAGAAGCAATAAATAAATAAAAGGAAGAAGGCAACCCCAATGTCTGTATTGCAACGATTTATCCACTAAATGTTCCTGTAAAACGATTTAAAGTGGATCAGCTCCCAAGTAGCTTACCCCTTTACCATGAAAATTTCGACCCATTAATAATTTTCTCATTTTTGAGGATCACATGTAACCTTACAATCTTAATATGTTTTTAATCCAATCAATATCTTTTTTCTTAAGTCAATACTTACTCTAAAAAAATAAAGATTTGAACAAATAATAAACCTTTAGTATATTAAATATTGCGATTTTGGCTCTCGCAAATTCAATATAACACTTAACTGAAAGAATGAATCAAAGCTCGCAAGTGCTTGAAAATACAAAAACAAAATATAAGAGAACATAAACTTTGATTGCTTTGGTTTATTGTTTTATGGCATCTTCAACTTGTATTTATATTATTTAATTAAACTCTAACGGTTGAATACTAATGAAGGGTAAGAATAATTGTTTGAAACATTAATTTTGTGCACCTCTACATATCGAGTCTCGAGGATGGAATAATCAACAAAGCGTTAAAGACTCATTTAATAAAATTCAAAAAATTAAACATAAAAAAAAAAAACTAAGATTTTAAGATTAGTGGGTAATATGTTTGAGATTGCATCAACTATCTCGACACTAAAGGAGTGATCTTGATCATGGTTTTCAGAACCGGACCGGTTAGCGAACAGGTCATGCTATCGGTTCACTGGTTCAATCGGTCGAACCGGTCCGACCGATCGGAAGAATCGGACGACGCCATAATTATTTAAAAAATTAAATAAAATACCAAAAATATTTAATAAAAAATAATTTTTTATATCACAAGTCATATTCAAAGCAAGTCATAACATATATAAGTTAAAAACCATAAAATCAAGTTAAACAAAATGATTCAAATTAACTACAACATAATATTTAAGGTAAAACATATTAATAATATAATTATATAACTATAATTAAAAAATAAATTTGGGGTTAAAAATCATAACAAAATGATATTGTTTGGTTTAATTTTTTTTAAAAAACAATCTCACATGTCTAAGAAACATAGAATAGCATCCCAAAAGTCTAAAGAGTAAAAATATGATAACAAAACAATCTCACATTGCTAAGAAACATAGAAGCGCATCACAACTAACTTCTATAAATAATAGAGGTAATTTGTCATTCAAAATCATGGAGTCTTTTAGTGAGCATTGAGTGAACTATTCTTTCACTTCAATCAAGCTCGAATTTTAGGCTTCAATCGAGCTTCTAATTTTTTTTTTGAGTTCAAGCCTTTTTGAGTTCAAGTTTCAATATTATATTTCGAGTTTGAGTTGAACTTGATAATTTTTAGCTTGTGAGTTTGAGTTGAGTTGAACTTACTTTTAAAGTTTTCAAGTTCGAGTCGAGCTCAGCAATACTCGAGTTTGACTTAGCTCGTTTAACAAACGACGTTATTTGGTTTAATTTTTTTTTAAAAAAAACAAAAATCCCGGTTTTCCCCGTTTTTTTTTTCGTTTTTTTTTTTAGCCGGTCCGGTTCGAACGGTTCAACGGTTCTGACCGATTCACTAATAACGGTTTCAACCGGTTTAGATTGAACCGGACTAAGCAACGATTCTCGATTGAACTGGTTGAACCGATCGGTCCGATTCAATTTTCAAAACAGAGATCTTGATACTTAACCTCTACCTCTGATCTCGAAATTAAAATATTTAAAAAAAGAGAGCAAAATTTAGCATGAATCTCAAGACTGACTTTTAGTCTCGAGATTAGACATGAGGTGCTATACTTTAAAAAAAATTGAGAATTGTCAAAATCCTTTTTAAATTTATAAATCACCTAAGTTCATATGAAATATATTTAATTTTTCTGTTGAAGATTTAGTATTTTTTAATACAGATCATGTTTGTTATATCAAATTTAAATTAATTTCAATCAAATAATATTTTAGATTTCGACATTAGTTATTGGTATAATCTTGTGTCATATCGATGATGAAATATATCAATTTTTTTTAAAATCACATTAATTTTATATAAAATTTAATGATTTAATCACCATTTTCAGTAAAAAAAGTTATTAGTTTAACAAATGAAGTTAAGACAATAAAGATATAAAAAATCAAATTCCTAAACTAATGGACTATAGATAAAATTAGTAAAACTAGCTGTAAAACTAGCGAAAAATAAAGGCAATTTTACCTAAAAATCACCCTAACAGTTAAATATTATCTGTCCTGTACGATTTCTCCAAATATTACATATCTAGTACTCTTTCTGATAAAGCGCGGACCATGAGGCTTGTCTTCGCAGGTTTTTGTTCGAGTTGGTACCACAGTGGAAAAGCGTGGATCATAATCTGTGCCTTCGTGGGTTCTATCTAGGGGTGTTCAGATCCAATCGGATAAAAAAAATAACCAAAAATCGATCCAAAAAATCGATAACCGAAAAAAACCGAAACCGATTTAGTGTGTTTGTTTTTTTTAAACCAATTGGTTCGGTTCAGTTTCGGTTTGGAAATCCGGAACCAATCCAAACTGAAATGAACCGATGAAATGGAGTATTGAATTTACAAGCTTGAAACAAACCCATCAAAAGCCCCACTAAATCTCACAAAACCCAGATACAAATACAGGTTAAGCTTTCCTCGACACGCACGTAACAATTTTGCTCCAGATTCTAGTCATCGATGCCAATGAAAAAAATGGTGCAATAAATGATAATAGCAAAGAAGGATATTATAGTCTTTTGGTATTTCCTCAGTTCTGAGGTAGAGAGAAAATTATCGGGCAAAACTTAGAAAATGTGCTGTTTTACTTTTATGGGTGATTTATTGACGAGAAACTGATTCATTTCTTGATTTGTTAAAATATATAGTCTCTGTGCTTTTGTAATACATAAGTTGTTTTTTTATGAAAAAAAATTCAAGAATTATTTTGAAAAATTAGAATCCAAAAACCGCACAATCCAAACCGAATCAAGCCACACTTAATTGGATTGGATCGGATCAGATTTTATTTTTAGAAACATCCAAACTGATCCAAATCACAAACATTTATACTTTCATATCAGATGAATTTTTAGCCAAAAACTGATCCAAACCGACCGCGAAAGTTCTATCTGAGCTGGAGCCATGGTGGTAAGCGCGGATCATGAAGCACACCTTTGCTGGGAATCAGACACATAGAGGAAGGCGCAAATCATAATTAGCGCATTGCATTTATATCCCAACCGTCTCGCCTTAAATACCGACCAACCCCCATCCCCTCCCCTATAAATACCCCCATCATCCAACACTCATATCACACAAAAACACTATATTTATTCATTTTATATATCGTTCTATCAAGTTTTAAGTAAGTATAGTTATCGTTTTTAGAAGCTAAATTTTTAATTATATTATAATCATTTAATAGTTTATTATGTTATTATATTTTATTGTACTAATTTTTTATTACTTTTTATATTGTTAGTTGGGATGGTTTAACCATGTGCATGATGGCTTGTCATATAATGTCGGAGTCCAAGTTGGGATAGTCCTAGTTGATCCCTCTAGCACATCATGTATGAGGACCTTTGTATATTGTTAGTTCTCATATGTTGTTTTTCCTCTTCCTCTTCGATACACAAACCATCCAGTTGCATCTGTTATCACGTTGGACACAATAGTCGACATACTTTTTGGTGGTTGATCGGCCGACTCTGGAGTGAACATAATTAAAAATTTTGATTTATAAATTGCAACCATCGCTTATTCTTTGGATGGAAACTCTATTCCAATATATAACTCACCATCATTGACTGACGAGTTAAATCCGTAGTCACCAACATTAAGCATATCCGTAAATTTTGGCTTGTATATTGCACTATAGTCAACTTCATACATGTGTGCTGGAGGTTTTGAGTGTATCGTGTTTGTGGGAACTTCATTTACATCATCATCATCGAAGTTCATGTTGAACTGCAGTGATTCTAGCTCAACGAATAATTCAATCTTATCACCACCTACACTGGCTCACGAAGAGTTTTTTTTTTTTGTGGAGATGAGAGTTCCTCTGTGATATCGATATTTAGGTCGAACAAGCTGGTAGTTGAATGCTTTCCCCTTAAACTGGAAGCGATGTTGCCATACGGATTGTTTGTAGAGTCACCTTGGTGGAGATCGTAACAAGTTGTTGATGAATGTCTCCCTATTGAACTTGATGGGATGGTACCAGGATGTGGATTTCCCATTAACGAGTTAAAATCATTACACATTACTTGAATTGGGCTATCAAATTAATCAGCTTGTTAAGCCAACCCATAGTAGGAGCATAATGACATACTACGAATCGCAAACACTTCAACCAGTGTGACATACATTTTTGTATCAGCGTCTAAATTTTGATTCAGATCATCAACCATCACAGCAACATCGTCATCGTTGGAGAGTTCGAATGTTGTATAAGTTAACAAAACTAGTGCAGTTGTAAATCTGTACTGAAGTGAGGACAGTCTTCTAGTACTTCCAACATAAAGCTTCCTTGAAATGTTAGTGATCAGCTCCTCAAGAGTGATGTTTCTCTTTAAGGATATTTTGACTAAATGATTTGATGCGAAGACAACGCCGTTTCATCTTCTCGAATTCCTCCATCATAGTAAACAATAGATGAAATACGCCTCATTTTGAGAGTGTGAGAGTTTGAAAGATTGAGAGTCATATATCTACAAAAATAATAGCTGAAATATACTTAATTAAATAAATAGTATACAAATTAAAATATAAACTAATACTAAAAAATAAAAAATATAACAATTTAAATAAAATAATTTAATATTTTTACCGTATCAATAAAAATATATCGAAATACGATATCACCTTCCATTTTACAACTACAAAAATAATACAAAATAATTAGTATAATAAAATTTGATTAAATAATTAAATAAAAAATAATATAATAAAAAATAATTTTACCTTCTAGAAACTATAACAAAATCTACTTAGCTTGTTAGAAGGAAGA